AAAAAAAAAAAAAAAAAAAAAAAAAAAAAAAAAAAAAAAAAAAAAAAAAAAAAAAAAAAAAAAAAAAAAAAAAAAAAAAAAAAAAAAAAAAAAAAAAAAAAAAAAAAAAAAAAAAAAAAAAAAAAAAAAAAAAAAAAAAAAAAAAAAAAAAAAAAAAGGTTCCAAGGGTTTGGTGCTTGTGTATAGCTCCCATGACCGCATTGTTTCGACGTGAAAACTCCACCTATTATATACATATTATCATTTTTAAAGTTAAGCATCGTTACGATTTATTGTTGAAGATGTAAATTTAATTTCACAGTTTTATAGATCGATTAGTTACACAATTAGTGTTGGGTGGTTAACGATTAGCATTGCGTAAGTGTCGTCACCATCGACCTGTTTCAATTCCAGTAAGTCTACAGTTTACTTTGTTAGTGACTATTCTGCGATTCATACTTTGAGAACGATGCCTTTATGGAAGAAACAGGCGGGAAGTCGTTTATTAAAATTTGCGTAATTACTGGTGGTAGGACCTCATGTGAGTCCGCGCGGGTAGGTACCAACACCCCGCCTATTTCTGCCGTGAAGCAGTAATGCGTTTCGGTTTGAAGGGTGGGGTAGCCGTTGTAACTATACTGAGACCTTAGAACTTATATCTCAAGGCGGGTGGCGCATTTACGCTGTAGATGTCTATGGGCTCCAGTAACCACTTAACACCAGGTGGGCTGTGAGCTCGTCCACCCATATAAGCAAAAAAAAAATATTGGTGATTGTTTATTTTGGCCCCATATAACGTCGTCACACATATGAAATCGCTCATCGATATTTTAAAAAAATGACTACATATTCTCTATTGTCGATACGATCGGCCAAAATTAACACGTTGACTGCCGCGTATGTAATTATATCGATTTCTGTTACTACGCGCCTGGATTGCCCAACTTTGCCTTCTTTTGTTTGTTAATGTATGTCTTAGGTATATTAAAAATAGATTCATTCTCAGACTACTAGATATTCCGGCGCCTTAGTAAGAAGATCGAAAAGAGAAATCGATATAATTACATCAGTGCGTCCAGTAGGTCACCGGTGACCTACATGGCAACGTGTTAAATGTTTTTTTTTTTGCTAATATGCTTGGACTAGCTCTCAGCCCACCTGGTGTTAAGTGGTTATTGAAGCCCATAGACATCTACAACGTAAATGCGCCACCCGCCTTGAGATATAAGTTCTAAGGTCTCAGTATAGTTACAACGGCTATCCCACCCTTCGAACCGAAACGCAATACTGCTTCACGGCGGAAACGGGCGGGGTGGTGGTACCTACCCGTGCGGACTCCCAAAAGGTCCTACCACCAGTAATTACGCAAATTATAATTTTGCGGGTTTGATTTTTATTACACGATGTTATTCCTTCACCGTGGAAGTCAATCGTGAGCATTCTGCAACGTAAATGACCCACCCAGTTTGAGATATAAGTTCCAAGATTTCAAGTATAGTTAGTTACAATAGAATAAAATATTATATAATTTCAAATTCTGATGATATACAGCCACAATAAAATGATGGTCTGCGAATGTAAACGATGATACAGCTTGTCTGATTATGAGTGATCAATGTTGCCCGTCGACATCAGTAATGCCAGGGGCAAAGCCGAACCGTTTACCTAGCCGTTAATACATGTAAACCACAAAAACCGTGAGTCGATTACATACATTAGATGAGTCGACTATTATCAAAGCCGGCAATGTGACTTTTGGACAATTATTGGTAAATCAGAAAAACGAATTATTGACTTTGTATTCCATTGGCAGTCACAAAACTCTTCTGAACGATATCTTATATAAATAACAGGTTAAGTATTAACCTTTATTTAATGCAGGTTTTGAACCGTATTCTTTGAAGGAGACGATTATATTCAAAATCAATCTGTATTGACATATCAATAACATTTTTTTGTCCAAATGCACAGATTGCCACCTTTGATAATAGACGACTCAGATAACTACAAATATTTAATCGCTCACAAGTTTGAAAAGGTTAAGCAAGTTAGTTTTTAATGATTCATTTACATATACACCTGTGTAGTCAAATATTTCCTTGTCAAGTTAACTCGGAATAGTTCGAGAATGCTCTATAAAAAAAAAAAAAAAAACTATTTCTGATATTCGAATTTTTGATCCAAAATAATTACTACTATCGTAGTTTCAATTAAGATGTTTGAAATAACGAGGGGCTTTTTGTTGTGACTCCTTATATATTTTCGATCTACTTTCTTGTGAAATGGATTGATGCGCAATTCGTTAATTTCACAAAAGTAAAATAAAGAAACGTGAAAATGTTGCTAAAAATGTTGTATGTACAATAGGATATTTTGGAGATTCGTTTTACGCTCGGATCCAGTATCTTTATAATCTTTACTATATTTAACTTTAGCATTCGGAGTTTGGCTGTATTTGTGTTTGCTTCTTTAGTTTGTTTCTGATGGTCATTACACAAGGATATCTCAGTTAGAGACCGATCAAACTTCCTTGGTCGTTCCTAATACAGGGTGGCCCATAAGTCCTTTGAAAAGTAAAATTTGAATAAAACGAACAGGGCGCGCGTGAGCGGTGCAGGGGAAGCGGGGGGAGTAACTTCGGTTTCTGGGAATTTAGTCGCGATGGAGCGTTTTACCGGAGCGGACCGTGCGTTTTGTGTGCGCGAGTTTTATAAAAACGACAATTCGGCAACCGTTGCGCGGCGTAAATTTCGAGAACACAAAGGTTTACACAACTTTGACGACACTCCAACTCTTCAAACGATTAAGAACTGGGTTGCTAAGTTCGAGGAGACCGGTTCGACGTTAGATAAACCGCGGTTGGGTCGCCCAAGGACGTCACGTACGGAACAAAACATAGACACAGTGACACAGTCTATTCGCGAAAATCCGACACAGTCAACTCGTAAGCGCGCCAGAGCATTAAACGTATCCAGGACATCGTTACAACGGATTTTGAAGAAAGATTTACATATGCACCCTTACAAAATTCAGTTGGTTCAAGAATTAAAGGAAACTGACGGTATTCAAAGACAAAATTATGCGAATGAAATGTTGAATCGGTTTACTTCCTTCAATAACATAATGTTCTCTGACGAGGCTCATTTCCATCTTAACGGGCATGTTAGTAAACAAAATTGCCGCTATTGGAGCCCCATCAATCCAAAACTTAAGCATCAGAAGCCCTTACATAGTCCGAAAGTGACTGTTTGGGCCGCTATGTCAGCCCATGGTATCCTAGGGCCTTACTTCTTTGAGGATGGCAGAGGGCGCGCAGTTACTGTTACGTCGGAGCGATATGTGGCTATGATCGAAGAGTTTTTCATACCAGAATTGCAAAACTTTTCAGGCTTTAATGCCAGGACGTGGTTTCAACAGGATGGGGCCACTTCTCACACCTCTAACACTGCTATGCCCGTTATCCGTCAACTTTTTCCTGGCAAAGTTATCTCTAAGAGAGGAGACATTTCCTGGCCTCCACGTAGTCCAGATCTGACCCCGATGGATTTTTTTTTGTGGGGCTACCTTAAGGCTAAAGTATACGACACAAACCCGCGGTCAATTGAGGCCCTAAAAGAAAACATCCGCAGAGAAATGACAAGCATTTCAGCAGTGACGTGCCGCGCAGTCATCGACAATTTTAGACGTCGTTTGCAAGAGTGCCGTGATCGCAACGGATTACATTTAGGAGATGTTATTTTCAAAAAATAATTCCCGTTTTTTAAGCTTTTTATGTAAATAAAAATTTAATTCATAATGTAATTAGTTTTATTTTAATAAATTTTTTTTCATATCAAAGGACTTATGGGCCCTGTATTAGTGATATCGCTTTACAACAGAAGATATGGTGGTTGTTCTAATGCCGGCCACTCACATGCGCGCAAATATTCGTACATTGTACGAATGTTTGCGCGCATGTGAAGGACCGTCAAACATTCATTCGCAAACTTAGCGGCTGTGCAAATGGGTTCGGCACTCAATTTGCGAACCCGTTTGCGCTTCCTCCCACACTTGTTTACGAATGTCTCACGAATTTCTCCTCCTTTTTAATTCGTCAATAGAACATTGAAGAGAAAAAGAGTTTTGAATTCTTTCCCAGACATTATTAACAGTCATGCTGTTTTTATGGGATTTCTTTTGATGAAGATGTGTAGCGTACACAGTAGACGTCACGATCTATGAAAATAGCGAAACGTCCGTTGCCTTCGCAATCCTGGGCGCAACTGGTCACACGAGTGTGTGGTGTTTTTTTTTCGCGGTTCGCGCGCTTTGATGTCCGTTAAAAAACCGACACAGCTTGGAAAACCACGAATGCAGCGAAAAGTTTGCAAAGTCGTCCTACACTTGTGGGTTTGCGTATTCGTGCGAATGTGAGTGACCGGGGTAACAAATTGTTGTTTTTATTTCGATATACATATTGCAATAAACGCACTGGTTCTGCTGGTTTTGTCTTGTTGATAAAGTATCATCAACCTGCATCAAAATAATTTCGAAACAACTAAATATCAACTTTCAAATATTGCAACTAATACATAAGAAATGTAATATTAAAAACATTTTTATATAAATTATTCCAGAAGATTAATGTAAATGACCGCGGAAATAAACTGTAAAAATAAATAAATAAATAGATAAACAAATCACACTAACCGTTAATATTATAGATAGTCTCAGACAAAAGTTATTCAAAATAATTTTACCTACCTGTTAAATTATTCTAAAATTTTACGACCAGTTTTTTTTTTAACTCGACATTAACCTGTATTCGTTTTTCTTGTTCATATTCTCCATACCTACAGGTAGCGATAAGATATATGCAGAATTAAGCAGAGTTCGCGAAGTAGGAAAATCACCTTAAATGTTGTCTATTTTATTAAATTTTTTAGATGACTTTCAAATCACTGGTTGTTTCTGCACTATTGGATTAACAATTTAAGGTATTAAATCGTCGTCAATCGCGTCACACTACTAGAGCCAACAGATCAACGTCTCAAATTATTTAAGATAATGGTTGTTGTTCAAATCTGTGCGGACTCACCACCGACAAGTGTCAAAATCTATACATTTTGCAGCCTTTATTTTATTACACTCGGCACTATATCTATCTATGCATGTTTGTTTGTATGTAACGGCATCTTTGCATGTCATTTTCGCCGCTTTCAAGACGTGAGATAACTTCAAAATCTACGCACGCATCAAGAGCCAATTGTAATAGTTACAAAATTAGTAGACTAAGTAGCGGGAACATCATTTTACTGATACTTTACTCCATCCCATCTCATCTCGTTTCATTTAAAATAATCCCAATTGATTCATCATCATCATCATTCTTTCCTATTACCCTCTGCTGGGGTGTAGGGCTCATTTATTTTTATATTATTATATCAATCCCAATTGATTAATTCAAATTAATCAGATTCACCTCATTTCTCTTCATATAATTTTTCATATTCTAACAGAACATAAGAAGAAAATATAGGACTAGGCTTAAAGGTCCTCGTTACCAGGCCATAAAATCATAAAAAAATAAATAGCAACTTTTTATTTTGGGATAAAGCAAACGTGTTTCTATCTTTCTGTAATACAAATTTAACCGTGGTAAATAAATTTAACATTCAAGAAAGTGAACTATCACAAAAATCTTAAAGAAAACAGGTATCAACATTAGTTAAAAAGGTTGTTACAAGTTTCGCGGCGCGATGATGATAAATTTTCAGCGAAGCACCGCTCTTGCTAGGGCTACTATTAGTTAGCTCTCTCAGATTGAGCCCCGTGAGCTAACTTACAAAACCTTGAGTAGTTGGAATAGCCCCTTATACTATCAACAATTAGTTACGAAAAATAATAAAAAGTAAAATTACTATAATATTATAAAGATTAAATCAAAACATAATACATCCAAGTACCTTATTACCAACGACCATGAAAGGATATCTTTCAATGCCGTTCTTGACGCCGGCGTAATGCAGGAATTCGTTTAACCACATCTTGATGTTATTGAATGAGCTTCTGTCATCTATAGCGTAGGCCAGTATGCATACATCTGATCCTCTGTAGAATGGAGTCCGGAGCGACTTGAACCTTTCTTGGCCGGCCGTGTCCCATACCTGTGACAAGATCATAATTGAAATCATATTTTTTTTTCTTTTTTATGATTGATGGTTTACTGGTGGCCCGGAGGTCTTTTTAGTTTCACCAGATGCTCCACTATATCGCGGGCTCGCGTATTTTTTGTTGAATAACGATTGAAAAAAAAAAAATCTGTGAAAATAGTTACATTCTTTACGATCAACATTTTCAGGATTTGACATTAAAAATAATGACACGTAACGGAGGGGAAGTCACGCTACTGACGTCATGAAATTCTTAGCATTTTTTTTTCTTTGATTTTGATACTTACTCGTTTTCACGGGTGGTTTCACTCGTGTTAGTGTACTGAAGATCTTTCTCTCGGATATGAGTTTAATACTTAAGACGAAACAAACAAACAAACTGTCAATAGTTGTCAAGTAAGACAACGAACGAAAAAATTAACAGAGCGAATTAATAATAACAATAATAATGTTTTTATTGCAAGTAACCATGACTCATAAAGATTGTTAGTAAGACTTACACCTATGTTAGTAGTTATATTTACATCACAATGAATTACTGTCGTAACGTCCCATGGGAGATGGCACCACAGCGACCCATGTATACACAGTACAGCCTGCTTGCGATAATGAAAACTAATGAATTGATATCGCAATAAAAAATTGTAGGTAACAACTTAAAAAAAAAATTTAATTTTTTTTTTTACATTTCTATTATTAAGTTCATTTACTCTAGAACCTTAGCTGTGAACGAAGCGTAAATAAATGTTAGAATATATTATCACACTTTCTAAGTTATTCTTACAATTTGTTTAAAATCTAAACTCAATCGAACAAATGACTCGCGAATGCATAGAACACTGATAAACACAAATAAACCTAGAAATGTTCTCAGTAAATATGAGTCGTCTATTATCAAAAGTGGCAATCTGTGCATTTGGACAAAAAAATGTTATTGATATGTCAATACAGATTGATTTGAATATAATCGTCTCCTTCAAAGAATACGGTTCAAAACCTGCATTAAATAAAGGTTAATACTTAACCTGTTATTTATCTAAGATGTCGTTCAGAAGAGTTTTGTGACTGCCAATGGAATACAAAGTCAATAATTCGTTTTTCTGATNAATATAATCGTCTCCTTCAAAGAATACGGTTCAAAACCTGCATTAAATAAAGGTTAATACTTAACCTGTTATTTATCTAAGATGTCGTTCAGAAGAGTTTTGTGACTGCCAATGGAATACAAAGTCAATAATTCGTTTTTCTGATTTACCAATAATTGTCCAAAAGTCACATTGCCGCCTTTGATAATAGTCGACTCATATGCAAGAGGACGCTCATCACGTTATTACGAACACGTTAACCTTTTCAACTATTCTTGTTACATACATAAACTATTTTATGTATTTTTATTTCTGTGCAGAATTTAAGTTGGAAAAACCGTAATCGAAACAATAGAACCTTTCCTTTCTTTTTGTAGATTTATAAGGTCACATGCAATTTGAGGTGCATTCGTAAACTTCTAAGAAATTTCGTCATATCACAGTCATATTATGATACTAGCGACCCGCCCTCGCTTCGCTTCGGAAACATTAAAACACACATGAAACCAAAAAATAATAATAAATAAAAAATTAAAAAAAGTAGCCTATGTTCATCAGGGACAATGTCGGCTTCTAATGGAAAAAGACTTTTTCAAATCGGTCCAGTAGTTTCGGAGCCTATTAGAAACAAACAAATCTTTCCTCTTTATAATATTTGATGATGATGATGATGATATGATGATATGATATAGACTTCGTAATGGTTGCCTTTTGTATAAACTGCATCAAAGTTTTTTTAATTTTTATTGCTTAGATGGATGGACGAGCTCACAGCCCACCTGATGTTAAGTGGTTACTGGAGCCCATAGACATCTACAACGTAAACGCGCCACCCACCTTGAGATATAAGTTCTGAGGTCTCAGTATAGTTACAACGGCTACCCCACCCTTCGAACCGAAATATTACTGCTTCACGGCGGAAATAGGCGGAGTGGTGGTACCTACCCGTGCGGACTCCCAAGAGGTCCTAAAACCAATAATTACGCAATTTATAATTTTGCGGGTTTGATTTTTATTATTATACACGATGTTATTCCTTCACCGTGGAAGTCAATCGTGAACATTTGTTGAGTACGTATTTCATTAGAAAAATTGGTACCTGCCTGCGGGATTCGAACACCGGTGCATCGCTACATACGAATGCACCGGACGTTTTATCCTTTAGGCCACGACGACTTAACGTTAATGAAAGTTAATGATTAATTTCATAAGAATATTTACAATAAGTATGAAGTAAGTAAGTTTTTAGATTTGCATATAAAATATGTATATAAAAATGAATTGCTGTTCGTTAGTCTCGCTAAAACTCGAGAACGGCTGGACCGATTTGGCTAATTTTGGTCTTGAATTATTTGTGGAAGTCCAGAGAAGGTTTAAAAGGTTAATAAATATGAAAATGCTCTGAATTAAATAAAAATAACAATTTTGGTTTTTCCTTTGATGCGTCCCCCGTCGGACGGATTCCTTTTGTTAGTTTTAATTGTATACAAAAGTTTAGGTCTTTTATTTATCTATTGAGGCACTACGAAGTCTGCCGGGTCAGCTAGTATTATTATATGAAAAAGCGAAGACTGGCCTTTAATCATTAAAAAATAATGGAACGGCAGCGAAACAGATTATTTTATTTGGGAAATGAATATTTACTTCTGCTCTCAGATTTAAGTTAGGCGTATATCAAATAGTCTTTTCCTTTTAATGCCAATACTTTAAAAAAACAACATCTATAATAACAGAGACACGTGAAACGTGAATGTTGATACTTCCGAAATGAAATGTAAGATTTATACATTTCACAAGATTCATACTGGTGGTAGAAGACCTTGTGAGTCCGCATGGGTAGGTAGGTACCACCACCCCGCCTATTTCTGCCGTGAAGCCGCGATGCGTTTCGTTTTGAAGGGTGGGGCAGCCGTTGTAACTATAACGAGACCTTACAACTTCTATCTCAAGGTGGGTGGCGCACTTACGTTGTAGATGTGAAGTCGTCGTGGCCTAAAGGATAAGACTCTAAGGATAAGACTAAGTTCGAATCCCGCAGGCGGGTACCAATTTTTCTAATGAAATACGTACTCAACAAATGTTCTCGATTGACTTCCACGGTGAAGGAATAACATCGTGTAATAAAAATCAAACCCGCAAAATTATAAATTGCTTAATCACTGGTGGTAGGACCTCTTGGGAGTCCGCACGGGTAGGTACCACCATCCCGCCTATTTCCGCCGTGAAGCAGTAATGCGTTTCGGTTCGAAGGGTGGGGTAGCCGTTGTAACTATACTGAGACCTTAGAACTTATATCTCAAGGTGGGTGGCGCATTTACGTTGTAGATGTCTATGGGCTCCAGTAACCACTTAAAATCAGGTAGGCTGTGAGCTCGTCCATCCATCTAAGCAATAAAAAAAAAAAGGTGTCTATGGGCTCCAGTAACCACTTAACACCAGATGGGCTGTGAGCTCGTTCACCCATGTAAGCAAAAAATAAAATAAAAATTCTAAATTTAATGCACGCAGCACCTGACAGATAAGACCTTAATACATATTAATCGAACCGATAAAATTAAATAGCGGTAAATTTTGCAAGAGTTCCGAAGGTAACATTTACCTAGTCAGGTCATAAGTATTGTCACACAGTAAAAACTTTTCTTTTAGAATGCTGGCCACAAAAAAGTTTATTGAATTCGAATTTCGAATTGTTCATGAAAATAAAAATAGTATACATTTAGAATTTTACTCATTTTTAAATATGGATTGGACGCTTAAAGAAGACCGTGTTGCAGTTATTGCGTTGCATCGTTGCGGTTACGCGCCAATTCAAATTTTTAACATACTGAAAAATTTGAATATAACCAAAAGATTCGTTTATCGTACCATCAAAAGATACAATGAAGACTCTTGTGTAGATGACAGGTCAAGAAGTGGTCGCCCTCGGTCTCTTAGGATTCCAGCACTGATAAAAGCTGTGAAGGCGCGAATTCAAAGAAATCCCAAACGTAAGCAGAAACTGTTGGCCCTTCAGATGGGGTTAAGCAGAACCACGGTGAAAAGGGTGTTAAATGAAGACTTAGGACTTCGGGCATATCGAAGAAAAACAGGAAATCGTTTGAATGTTCGTCTAATGGACCTGAGACTGAAGAGATGCCGCGCTTTGTTGAAGCGGTACGCGGGAAAAAAATATCGGGAAATTCTTTTTTCGGATGAAAAAATTTTTACCGTAGAAGAGAGCTACAACAAACAAAATGATAAGGTGTACGCACACAGTAATGAAGAAGCGAGCAACCGTATTCCGCGTGTCCAACGAGGTTATTTTCCATCCTCGCTCATGGTATGGTTGGGAGTTTCTTATTGGGGCTTAACAGAGGTACATTTTTGTGAGAAAGGTGTAAAAACGAATGCAGTTGTGTATCAAAATACAGTCCTGACGAACCTTGTGGTACCTGTTTCTCATACCATGTTCAATAACAGGCACTGGGTATTCCAACAAGATTGGGCGCCAGTTCATAGAGCGAAGAGCACACAAGACTGGCTGGCGGCGCGTGAAATCGACTTCATCCGGCACGAAGACTGGCCCTCCTCCAGTCCAGATTTGAATCCGTTAGGTTACAAGATATGGCAACACTTGGAGGAAAAGGCGTGCTCAAAGCCTCATCCCAATTTGGAGTCACTCAAGACATCCTTGATTAAGGCAGCCGCCGATATTGNAAATCGACTTCATCCGGCACGAAGACTGGCCCTCCTCCAGTCCAGATTTGAATCCGTTAGGTTACAAGATATGGCAACACTTGGAGGAAAAGGCGTGCTCAAAGCCTCATCCCAATTTGGAGTCACTCAAGACATCCTTGATTAAGGCAGCCGCCGATATTGACATGGACCTCGTTCGTGCTGCGATAGACGACTGGCCGCGCACATTGAAGG